GTTAATAAGCGAATATAATCAAGTTTTTGTTTTTTTAAAAAAATTTAGATCATGGCCTTTACTTTTAAATTTTTTTCTTCACAGTATCTGTGCTTGAAATAGTTGTTTAATACGCAAAAATGCTCTTGAAACTAGAGAATAAAAATTAGCGGCGTTTATCACACAGAAAGCGGCCGAACGCAGGTTTTTTTAAACGATTATATACATTTATTAGTGAAAAAAATCTTTCAATTAAAAAGAATAAAATAAAAAAATTCGTCTTTGCCAAAAAAATTTACGGGGGCCGTTTTAAGGCAGCGATCGTTAAACGAGGAAAAAAGCACTAAAAAACAGTTTTTCGAAGTGAATTTTCACGGAAAGTTTGAGTAAAGATTTGCGAACATATTCTGATAAAAATAGCTGAATTACTTCAAGTTTTTATTTTTGAAATAGGCAATCTGTGCTATCTAAACGGCTCAAGGGTAAGGCGGATGGAAGCTCCCCTTGCTAGACCTAGCAGCTTGGCGCAGCGCGTGCGCTGCGATTTTTCATTTTGAGGTCGCGAGTTCGATGCCCGCAAGCGTCAGTTTTTTGTTTTCTGGAAAATACCGACTTTTTCGGCAAACTAGCTGATGAGCATCATTTTAGCACTCTATTATGATTTGTTACATCATAATAGACCAGTATCAAAACTTGTTCTAGAAGAAAAAAATCGAGAAAAAAATGTCAAAAATGGATAATACCAAAAATTTCAGTACTAAAAAAATGGTGCGCGGCGCGCCACATTTTTCGTCATAACTTTTTTTCATCCTCAATCTTTTTTTCGAAAAAACTAAACGGTTCTGAGTTTTGAATCGAAACAGCTATCAAAACCATACAAAGCTCAATGCTGAAAAATTTTTTTGAAAAATTGGTCTGCGGTCCCTATATATAGGTCATTCCGCGCTAGCTTGTGACGATTTTAAATTTCCTCGGAGCTACAGTAGCCTCTTTCGGCGCTTCGCTACGATGCTCTCGGTATTCCCTCTTGCGTGCGCCTTTGATAAAAACATCATTCACCCATTTTTTTGTGGACTATATCGCAGCGAGAGTAACGCTTTACTGCGGGGGAGCCGCGAGCGATATCGCTCGCCTCTCGCTGCGACCTCGCAAACGTCTTGCGCTATAGTTGTTGAATATGTGAATTGATAGTGATCAAATAATAGATCACGTGAGAGATATCCCAACTAAGAGTATAAAAAGAAGTCGGGAACTCAGATCATCATCACTGTACCGCCCCCTGTTTCGCCTCCAGCCTCGCCGTCGTTTCAAGCCTCGGACTGACGACTTCTCGCCTCTCCTGAACTTCATCTTTTTACCACACCTAGTAAATAAAAACTATTGTGGGGTACTCTTCTTTCTGATAACGCACAAGATACATTAAAAATAGTCTGTTCAGATTTTGAATGTCAAGTCGTCACTAAAGCTCCGCCCCTAATGGTGCGATAAACCAATCAGAGAGCGAGCCATCCACAGAGTGTTTTTTTGAATGACGTCATTGCACTTGACATTAAAAAAATCTGAACAGACTATATATCGTTCTCTGAAAAAAATTTTTCTTCAAAAAAATCTTGAATTTGATTGATTTCATCATAAAAAGTCAAAAAATAAAGCAAAAAGTGTTTTTTTCAAACTTCAAATCTTTTGAGAGGGAGCGATATGGCAGCGAGACTTTGACGAGGTCGCAGCGAGAAGCCTTGGCTATATCGCGTGCGGCCCGCTGCGATATCGGCATTTATGTTGGGTGTGTAGCTCTCCAAAAGACCGATGATCATGTTTGACGTATTGAGTATTCTGACGGTCAAGTACGTTATAGTCTGTTCAGATTTTAATGTCAAGTGCAATGACGTCATTCAAAAACACTCTGTGGATGGCTCGCTCTCTGATTGTTTTATCGCACCATTAGGGGCGGAGCTTGAGCGACGACTTGACATTCAAAATCTGAACAGACTATATATAGAACGGTGACTTTTTTTCAAAACGATAGCTCGTTTAGTGGTCAATTTTATAGGTCATTCCGCGCCAGCTTGTCACGATTTCCAGTTTATTTGGAGCTCCAATAGCCTTTTTCGGCGCTTCGCTTCAATGCTCTCGGTGTGCCCTCTGCGTGCGCCTTTAATAAAACTCATTATTTCCGAACTTTGGAATTTTCTTATTCTACAAAAAAACAGTTGTAACATCAAATTTTTATATCAAACTAACCCTAAAAATTATATGCGAGAAAAATCTCGAACAGTCGGTTTCCTTGATAACAATTAAACAATAAAAATTCAATCTTTTTGATTTTTCTTTTTACAAATCCAGCACAGAATATCAGTGTGTATATTAAAGCGAAAAAAATGAAATCAATCCAATAAAAAAACAACCTCGTAAATTAATAAAAGAGATAAAGGAAATTGAAGCAATATCTTAATCAGAAATAATGTTTTTATTAAAGGCGCACGCAAGGGGGAACACCGAGAGCATCGAAGCGAAGCCCAGAAAGGGGTTCTGTAGCTCCGAGAAGAATTAAAAATCGTGACAAGCTGGCGCGGAATGACCTATAGAAGAAACTTCGCGTTAAATCGCAAACTGCTACTCCCTGACGTCATCCCTATGACATCATCTTCATTTGCAAAATTCGCACACGCAGCCATATCATTTTATTCATTTTTTACGTTCCTATTTATAAAATTAGATTCGACGTGAAAACTTTTCCGGTCACATGAGAAACAGAAAGATATCAAACTTGAAAATCCCCTTTTGATCGGAAAACTTTTTTATTCTTTTATTTTCTTACTTTTTTTGAAACCTTTTAAAGGTTTGGAATAATCCGAGGCGTCGAGGCCCACGCTTACGCATAGAATGCTCCTTTAAAAATTTTTTTCTTTTCACAGATTTTTTTCGCTAAGCGTATCAAGTTTGCAAATCGTTTGGAGCTACCTGATAGTGTTATTAGTGACCACGTTTTGAAACTAAATGCCTTTTTATGTCAAGTATTCATTTATTTGACGATTTTTCACTGTGGCTCAGTTTTTTTCGAAGCGAGCCACAGTCGGCTTCGCGCTATGCGCGCTCCGCCTCCGTTTGAAGCCTCAAAACTAAGCCTATTTTTCTTAAGTAATGCATGAACCTGTAGGCGCAGTTTTTAATGCAAAAGGCGCAATTCAGGCTCTTCCCATCCTTCAATTTTTTTCAATTTCAATTTCAATTAAATTCAATTAATTCAGTCTTCAGAGTAAGATGAAGAAAAATCTCTGCTAAATCATGGTATAATCGAAGAGTTAGTCGTCGGCGCGGGTTACGGTCCACAATCTTTGTCCAATACGTCCCGGAGTGACAGCTAGCGTTGGGAAATAATGTGGGCCCGTTGGTAGTACCAACAAATAAACTGCTTCACCATGTTGGAACAGTACAGCACCCAGCTTGTCCAGGGCTGACGGGCGTCGGAATATTATCCCATGAGAGAGCGGCAAAGAGACCGACCAGTCGACGTGATGAAATGAGATAATAATAATCTGCTGAATCACGTTTACGTGAAAGAAATGAATATATAGCCAAATATTTCGATTACGCTTATTTCTAGTGTTACGAATGGTGTCATGAAATGACGTCAGGGAGTAGCGGTTTGCGATTTAACGAAAACAATAGAAGAAATGAACGTTCGGTGATAATTTCGTTTGAAAGTCGTTTCAACCAAAAGAAAGCAAGAAGATGATGCGAAGTGAAAATGCACTTCATTTTAAAATGCCAACACGCGTCATTTTAAAGATCTTTTTCACATTTTCCTCTTGACAGTAATTTAAATGCCGTGTTCAAAGTAATTTCCGCGAAATGCAAAATACCTGATAGAGAAAGGAAAAGATCACTAAAAAAATACCTGTTAGAGAAAGGAAAAGATCACTAAAAGTTTTTAAATGAAATATTGGAGTTTTCATATTGAATACTTTTCCTATTCAATATGGGCCTGCTCTTCGAGAACTCAGACTGCTGAAAAGCGAGTTTTGAAGAATATTTCTAATGCATTTCGTAAATAAGAGAAGAACCGACGAAATAAGACCATTGCGGAGAAGGAACAGCAAAAAACCGAATTAAAAAAAAATGCGAAGTTTTACATGAAAATTTACTTAAGAATATGTATATATGAATAATCACTAATGCCGTGTTCAAAGTAATTTCCGCGAAATGCGAAATTGTCTCTGACCCTCCAAAACTTAGTTATCTTTCTCTTTCTCTGACGGCTATTTTGAATTTCGCGGAATAACTTTGAACACGGCATAAGTCATTGTTCAGAGACGATTGGAAAAAAAAGACGCGCGAAAGCGTCTTACTTTTGATTTTTCACATCTTTGATTTTTCTCGCGAAATGCAAAATGATCTCTGACTCTCCAAAATTTAGTGATCTTTTCCTTTCTCTAACGGGTATTTTGCATTTCGCGGAAATTACTTTGAACACGGCAAAATAATCGACACGTCATCAAAAGCGTTCACTTTTTTTTAAAAATATTGTTACACGTTGCAAATGAAATCGCTTTTTTATTGTTCATACTTTGCCACGTATATATACATTTCTGAGTTTTTTTGAATTTTTTTAAGTCAATGAAAAAATTGCGCTGGGTTATCTAGGCCCTAGGGTTTTTGGGACTATTTCGATCGAATTTATTTTGAACATTCAAAAAAACTGTAGGAAACAAAAATTAGTCTGCACCCTGCTTAAGAATAATTGATTGAGTTTTTTTAGTCCAAATAAAAGTTCACATGTATGTGGCCACTTTTTTTAAATTTTTTTATCCATCCTTCTGAAATAGTCAACTTTGAAATTAATCTGTTTTTCTTTATTCTGCTCAAGTTTGAGCTCGAAATGAAAAATTTTAAGTTTTCTTTTTGAAAACAAGTTATTCATCGAAAAAGTTATTTATTCCAAAGTGAAAGCAATTATTTTTTTAAGAAGACTATAATCAATTATATTAAAATTTTTTTCAGCAGCGGACACTTCACCAAGAATGAAGTGGAATCGTATTGAAGGTATGTTATTTCACATCTTTTTTTCAAACTTAATCTTTTTGTTTCAGGAAGATTCAATCTGAAGATGTTGCTTATGATAGCACTGCTGAACGCATGTTATGCTGATTCTACCGGTAAGTTTTTTTGTTCACATGAGTATTGACAATCTTAACATTATACTTTTATTATTATAGTCATTTCACGGTAGATCTTGGTCGCTAAATACAATATATATGTCTGTTCAGATTTTGAATGTCAAGTAGAATGTCGTCATTCGAAATCGCTCTGTGGGTGGCTCGCTCTCTGATTGGTTCATCTCCCCATTAGGGGGCGGAGCTTGAGCGAGGACTTGACATTTGAAATCTAAACGAACTATATAGTCTGTTCAGATTTTGAATGTCAAGCAGCTAACTCCACCCCCAAGGCTACAATATCTTTCGCGTCAATGTTTTATCTACATATGCCAATGGCCCTTTAATAAGGCTGCTTTTTTGACCTCTTTTTCTATCTTTTAGATCGAAAAAAAAATCAAAATTAGTCCCGCGCGATGAAACATCGACGCGAAAAGGTACCGTCTCAGCAGGGGCGGAGTTAGCTGATTGACATTCAAAATCTGAACAGACTATAGTATCGATCGTTTGCTGCGGACTTAGGAGCCCGTGTTTTTTGAATGAGTAGTTTTATAAAAGTTTGGACTTTATAGTTGGAAATGCCAAAAATTGAAGAGATTTTAAAATAAAAATACCATGATCATGTTTTTAAGACCAGCTGATTAGCAGTTATAGTCTGTTCAGATTTTGAATGTCAAGTCGTCGCTCAAGCTCCGCCCTAATGGTGCGATAAAACAATCAGAGAGCGAGTCATCCACAGACTGTTTTTGAACGACGTCATTGCACTTGACATTAAAAATCTGAACAGACTATAATGCTCTTCTCTAAGCTGCAGTCGATGAAGATTTTTTTAACTTGCAGAATCTTGCTGCAAAGAGGCCCATCTTTAGCGTACGCGGGTCTGGGGCGACTTCGACCAAACCGGGATGCACATCTGAGGAAGGTCAAGTGGCCTGCCGAAGCGCTGGTTTATGTGGACCAGGAGTCGAGGCAATGGACCAGTCTGTTTGTTTTTATTTGCGGCGGAGAAGAGGCAGTACGATCGCGGTGGTCAGAAACCGACGTGAATTTCAAATTCCTCAAAAGAAATCATCCACAAAGGGGCCGGGTACGTTTCTTTCCATAATATGAAACGAGCTTTCATTATGAATTTTCCGCTACTTATCAGTGACATTGCGCTGCTATTTAAAGTCGCTTCGGGCACCGTGTAAAGCAAAAAGTGACATCGAGGAACGACTATGTTTTCAGCGCAAATTATCTTGCCCATGCAAAATGCAGTCAGATGATGCCCACGACTTGAAATTTCATGGAACGACACTCCGGTGGTGGCCTTGTGGTCAGCTGAAAGCGCCTAGCGTTTTGACGAATTTCGGTCGCTTGCTTTTCCATTTTTCTCATTTTGAAAATTTCACTGTTTTAATTATGTTTCAATAGTTTTCTTCGTTGCCAAACTCATGATTATCATTGCTGGTGGGTAGACTGTTTCATTAGAAACAAATAAAGTTAACTACTTCTCAATTTTAAGCGAAAAATGCGTTTATAATATTAATTTTCAACGACCCTGACGATGCAACATTCTTCCATTTTCACTTGTAATTTTTCAAATCATTTAAAAAATATCCCGAAACACAATGAATGTTTAAAAACAAATTAATGTTTCAACATTGACGAATTTGTACAAAAAGTAGATACATAAGTTCAAAGGAAAAATCATTAGTTTTCTGGACTTTTCGTTCAGCACATCGTTTCCACTGTTCCAAGTGCCCACTGTTCACGCCTCATTTCTGACGCATTATCCCTAAAGCTCCATTTTAAAAAAAGGAACCAAAACCTTTCTTCAAATTATGTTTCCATTGCAAAGCTCGAAAAGGCAATAATCTCCTCATATTAGCATTTTTCTGCAAATTCTTGTATTCTTTTTCGGTTGAAATTATCAAAAAGCATTAGCAAGAAAAACAGTGAATGATATTTAACCTCAATGAAAATTTTTCCACAAAACACGGCGTTTCTGCCAGTTGAAGAAAAATGCAAGGAATTTTGAAACTCGGCAAAGTCTGCGCACTTCTCGAAATTCGCCCGCGAAATTTGAAAAAGTGGCTTTATTTTTGATTTTTTGTCAATTTTTTCATATTTTTTCACTTTTTCTTTTCGTAGATTGCTGATAGTATTGCGGGACCACGATCAGGGGTATACTCTGGGTTGTTAGACGTTTTTAAAAGTAGTTCTGTGAGGCTAACTTTAAAACTCTTGATGAAGAAGCGTTTTGAAAAATCTCCACCTGTTTGTATGGAACATGTTTTCACCCCATTTTATGTTTTTCTTATTCTATTTTTGTCGATTGTTCAGATTCCTAGGTTGTGGACATCAATGAGATGAAGATTACATGAAAAAGTCTGTGAAGTTGAGAAAATATGTCCCGGAATTCATTTATATCCGGATATTCCGTCAACTTTTTATAATAAAAAGTACTTGCTGTAAAAACATCTTTTTATTTGTTTTCTCCACAGCAATATAGTTTTTATTTAATCTCTTTTAATTTCCTCGTCTTTTTTTCTTCAATGTTCATTCGTTTCTCACACTTATATCATCGGTTAACCTTATTTATCGGTGCATGCACTAAACACGTCCTAATTGACGGAGAAAAGTGGGCGGGGCGTCGCAAAAGGAACACCGTGAAAACGCCGCAAAGACTTTTGAAGTTGAAAATATCGCGTCTTTAAATCCAAACGTTACTCTGCAATTTCGATGTCAGTGGAATATGAAAAACTAACCTCGTCTTAGATCCCTATGGATAAGCTTCTTCCTTCCTTGCCAACCTTTGAAATCTCGTTCAGATTCCCTCAATAAAATCATGTCCAACGGCAATAAAAAGTGAAAGAACAAAAATAAAGGAGTTGATTTAACCTTATGTTGACTGAAACCGATCTCTCTATTTCATTGTGCTCATGGAAGTTCACGTCTTTATTTTATAAGGCACTCACTTTCTGGAAAAAATCCATTAACCACTGCAAACAGAAAAAAAAACCATGAAAACATTAAAAAAAACACAGAAACTTTTGTAGAATATTGTGGTTAACGGCCTATTTCACCCGCAAATCTTTTTGGTAAATCTTTGAAAACTTTTTTGAGAAACGAGAAAAACAATATTGAAGCGATTGACGAATACATGAAGTTTTTAAATTTTTCTATCGCTTTTTCGAGAAAGATCATGAAATTTACTGTGTTCTTTCGTTTACATTTGTACAACACAATCCTTCTCAACGGTAATAATACATTTTAACGGAATAAAATAATTAAAAAAACGATCAAAAAAATAGAATGAAAAACCAAAAATAATTAGCGTGGCCGAGGTTGGCAAATTCGCAAAAAGCGCGCTATCGCACAAATCGAAACAGCGGAGTGTCGTTCCATGAAATTTCAAAATTTTTTTATTTTTTTAATAGCTTCTTCTGTTTTTCAGGTCCAGCTTTGTCACTGATTAACAGCACTTTGGGCTCAGAATCTTTCATTAATTTGGAAAAAAATCGAAGTCGATGACGTCTCTATTTACTGCGACGGCACTACCGACTTGATCAAGATTGTAGGAAGTATCCCTCAAGATATAGTCGACCGACTGCACAGAGTGGGAAATAAGGTACGATTTTTTTCTTTGAAAGAATGATGAGAAATTAAATATCTCACAGTGTTTTCAAAGGCTCGACTTAAGTTTTTTTCTAGGAGAGAAAAAATTAAAAACAAAACAACACAATTCTTTTTTGAAGCACTTGAATATGACGTTTTTCTAGCTTCATTTTTCAAAAAAATGTTTCTTTTTATAGGCGCACAGAAAAAAATATTTTTCATGAAGATTCAAGAGTGGAAAGCTCTTGAATGACTCTTTGGACATCCTAGCAAACTTTTTAAGGACATGAATCGATATCTAAACCAAAAAGTGTTTACAGAAAGTATGACTTTTTCCAGACCCTTGAAGCCTGCAAGTCATTGACGACTACTCAGCCGACGGTTCTTGGCGCGACCCAGCGAGCAGGAGTCCCTAGATCGAACTCTTCTGCCGCGGTGATCTCCCAATTGTGCACGCAGAAGATAGATGCCGAGAAGGAGAAGTGCTCTAGCAACAGTGAGTTTAAGGAAAAAAAGTAACAAAAAAACTGAATTTTAGTGATTGAAAGATAGACTAGACGCTTTTTGAAAAATGATTAATATTTTTTTGAAAAATAAATTCAGTGAACATAATGGGTATTAAAGGATGTAAATTGTAGAGATTTTTGCGGTGAGAAAATGTTGAACCTAGCCTTTTTCAGATGTCATTTTTATAATATGTGTACATCATTGAGTTCTTTGAATTATCGACCAAATTGAGAAGAGTTATCTGGGCTTTTTCTTCACAGACACGCTGCTGTACATCGCCTGTGCAGTGATAGTGGTCCTTTTGATTGTGAGCATCGTTTCGACGATCATCGCCCTCAAGCTCTACTTATGGCGCCACAAAAAGGACCTGCTCCTAGCTTCCTTCGGTATTGGTTTTTCTGATAGCAAATTTAATGCCGTGTTCAATTTGATTCCGCGAAATGCAAAATACCTGTTAGAGAAAGGAAAAGATCACTAAATTTTGGAGAGTCAGAGATCATTTTGGATTTCGCGGAATCAAATTGAACACGGCTTAAGCATTTTTATAGTTTTCAGTTCCCAAAAATAGAACTTCAAGTATGAACTTCAAAACTTTGAGAAAGGTTATTGCTCGTTAATAATACAAAAAAAGTTTATTTCAATGAAATTCCACTTTTTAAACTTTTGAGTTTGTAGTTTGCTTTTTTTCCTGGAATATTTCCTGGCCGATTTTTCAGAACTTTCCTAAATGTAGAATGTCAATTTTTCTTGCTGACGCTTTAAAATAAAACATTTTTGTTTTCAGGTTCCCACGCCGCACAAGTGATCGAAATGATCCTTCACCGGCTTTGCGACGGTGATTGTCGCATTCGTTAGTTCTTTTTTCAATTCACCTTTTTAACTCAATAAATTTCAGTTAAACGAGTCTATTCGGATAGGCACGCTGACAACGCCTTTCTGGCGTGTAAGTTTTATGAAAAAATTTCAATTTCAATTTTGTTTACTGAGTCTCTCTGGACTGACAAGGGAGGTAATTTTACTTTGCAGTTAAGGCTTTCCTGAAAATTGGCCAAAACACTCCTTGATGAACCAGAAGAAGATTATGAAAGCCTCAACCTGCACAATCTCCGACTTTTTGAGAAAAGAGCTCAAAGAAAACAGTCGAAATCTGTTAATGAGCTACGTTGTGGCTTTAGACCCTCATTTCTCGAAATCTAGTAAGTTGTGCAGGTGGAGACTTTCACGATTTTCATCTGGTACATCAAGAAGTGTTCTGGCCAATTTTCAGAGAAGTCCAAACCGCAAAAAATTTCTTCCTGTATGTTTTTTCCGGAAAAAAAAAGAATTTTCTTCTTGTATGTTTTTCCGGTAAAAGATGATTTTCTTTTTCAGACGACCATGTGGTATTTGAGAAGAAGTTGACAGCACGTAGATTCTGGAAGGTCCAGCAAGGCAAAAAATTGGACTTCGATAATGATTTCAAAAGAGCGCCTGCTCATAAGGTCAATCATGTCACGAGTGATGAACTCTTCCGGCTGACTAGAGAAGGGATCCCGACCGAAGACGTCCAGGAGGCGCTGCAGAAGTACGAAGAAGTAAAGACGAGCATCGTCAAAAGTGGAAAGTTCGATCCTCCCAAGAATGTGAATCCCATCTCGGACACACGTCAGCGAAATCGTGAACTGATGGCTGCGATGAAGTCTGCGAGTCAGAAGAAGGTCAAGCCCGGTGCCCCATTTTATAAGGATCCTTCGATGCTCTCGAAAGCCGAAAATATGATCACGAACAGTGACGATGAACAGCCGCCGAAGAGATTAGAGTCCAAGGACCAGGCAAAGCTTTCGGTGCCCGCCTCTAAGGACAAGGTTCCCGCTCCTCAGACCAACCGCAAGCCTGCTGGCGCCGAAGCCGCTCCCAAAAAGCCCGCTCCGGCAAAGAAAGACGCTAAAAAGCCGCCCTCGCAGGAGACCACTTCGAAGGAACCTGTCGGCAAGTCTACGAACGACACAGGTTGGTTTGAAAGAAAAAAAAAATTCGGGTTTTTGATGTTGAGAAAGCTCAATTATTAGTTATGAGTGTTAGCAGAAGAAAGCTTATTAAGCTTATTTTGGTCACATTTTTCAGCTGACCGACAAGAAGGCTGCTGCTCAGGCTCAGGCTCCGGCCCAAGGTGCGGGTTCCGCTGAAGAACCACTGCCGCAGCCAAGGATTAGAGAGCCGGAGGTCGACCCGAAGTACGCTGGACAGTTTCCAAAGGAAGTGGCACCCCGATCTCTCTGCAAACCGATGCGGGTCAAGACGTCTGCTTGCCCGGAAATCTCGAACGAGTTTTCCGGGGAGTCCGACGAGCTGAGTTAGTAGCCTCGAAAAGATATAACAAAATAATTTGGCGTTTTCAGAACAAACATTCACCGCTCTCACGATGATCTTCAACAAGGCCAAAGAGGTCATGAAGGTTCACGAACAGGGTAAATAACTACTTTGCGATTGAACTTGCTTTAGAACTCGGAGAACCAGTTGATCATCAGTTGATTCATAATAATACAATTCAGCCTCGGTCGTGATCGCTCAGATGATGGAAGATTCCGTGGTAGACACGCGCGGAGCCGTGTACGAAACGACCGTTCTCCGGGAGCGAGAGGGCGATCTTCGAATTCCTCTGGTTCGGGGTTGCCCGTGCAAGGATGACGGCAACAAAGGCTACAACGTCCAGGGTGAGTACTCAGGCGATTCCTGGGAAAGGCTGGCAAGGTACTGGGAAGGCGTTGGGAAGATCTGTTTCCGGTTCCGCGGAAGGCGTTCGGAAGGTTTCCAACAAGTGGACGAACGCCTTTCAAATAGCTTTCCAACGCCTTCACGCAAATCTTTTGAGTAACGAGTTTTTTTTTGTTTACTTCATCTCTTTCCAGACTTTTTGAATGACCTCAATACGTTGCGCCACACCGACAAAGACTATGACCCAGAGCTTTACGAACTTCTTGAAAGTGGAGAGCGTATCCGTGCCCAGAAGTTGGGCGCTGCGGGAAAAAACTACTCATATTTCTGGAATAGTTAGTTTCTACCGAAACAAATAATTTGAAAACAATATGTAAACCTTGAAAAATTGCTAGTTGTACCAGTAAGGTCAGAACTTCTGACGGGACGCCCTGATCTTCCTTTAATTTCGAGTAGTCGTCCCGGGGCGCCCCGCCACGTTGAGTAGATGAGTTAAAATGAAGTATGAGTGAAAAAATCCGGAGAAACGGATAATAAAGAGTCGATAAGTGGAAGATACTTAGATTATTACTTAGTAAAAAGATAATGAATATTTAATCGTCCCATTGAGTACAGAAGAAATCTAAACAATGTGACCTCTCCGCGGAGGACGTTGCGGTCGTTAAACTTAGAATGTTGGAATTTTTTTCAAAGTAAAAACGAGTTTCAGAGAAGACGACCACGGCCGAGGCGGTCCTTCCGGGAGAGACATTCGAGAGAGCCATGATTCGCAAGGAAAGTGAGAACTTTCTCTTTTTCTAAGCATACACGCGGATTTGTTTCTCTCAAAAATTGTTTGAAAAAATGCGAAAAAAATGTTCTTTTTTTCAGAAGAGATGGAAGACCTCAATCGCATTACCGATCTGTACAAAGTTCGCAAGTGCCGCCTCCCAGCGAACCGTAAGGGAATCTGGGGCTACAAAAAAGGAATGATTAACCCCAATATCAAAAAGAAAGACACGAAGAAGTCGAAAGAGGACAAGAAGGTCGCCAGCAACCATGAGAAGAAGGAGAAGGAGAGCGAGAAGGAGAAGAATAAGGAGGAGGAAGAAGATAATAAAAAGGAGGAAGGAGCGCGGGAGAAAGCGGCCGAGCAAACTAAAGAGAAGACCCAGGAGATCAGCAAGGAGAAAAATTAAAGTGCCCGTTTTTCCTGATCGCCTTTTTACTGCTTTCCAATACGGCCTTTCAACTGATTGCCTTTATGGCCTTAATCGTTCTGTAAAATTTAATAAACTTTTTCGCAGAAAATCAGTTTTTTGCTTCTGCTTTTTTGGGAATTTCTGCAATTTCAAAATATGCTCGGCTTACTGTAGACTTTGACTGCAAACACGGAGCTCGCGATTTAAACTGAAAACATCCGGATTGGCGACTAAATGGTTTCTGTTAATTTTGCTGTTGGCGAGCTGATTCGGAAGTCTATAATCGTGACATTCTCTGCATAGGCAAAGTCGGAAGGACCCTTCACGGGCCCTTTGAGCGTCCGTTACGGATCCGTCTGTTTCCATTAATTGTTCCTAAACGGGTGGCAAAGGTTTCCTTTTTACTGCCTTTTTGCGTCCTTTCATCGGCCTTCATCCGCCCTTTTTGGACCCTTTTGTGAAATACAATTTTTTTTTTAAAATCAAGACTAATCTTTAAAAGTGACTGTGTATGAACCAAAATATGCTACAGTAATAAAATCGTAAAAATCAATAGCAGAAACTTTCAGAACCCTTTTGCACCCTCACTCTTTCTTCACCCTTTTTGCGGCCTCTTCCTTTTTTCGCCCTTTTATGACTCTTTTTAGCCCACCAAAAATGAAATGCTCAATAAAGGCCGTAAAAAGGGACCCTTTTAGCGGTCATTTTGCAGTCACTCCCTTTTTGCACCCGTTTTCCGCACTTCCGACTTTGGCAGTGTGCTCAGTTCTGTCTCCAACGTCGTGTTCATCTTCTTCTGCATCATTTGTGCGTTAAAATCTATTCTGACTTCTGAATGTCGAGCATAGATGAAGAAAAAAAGAATGCAAAATTTATAGGCCATTCCGCGCCAGCTTGTCACGTTTTTCTTTCCGCCGAAAGGCCAGGTCAAATTTTATTAACTTCGCTGCGAGACCTTTGTTTCTTGTCGTTATAAAAGCAGAAATTTGATTTAATTTAGTATACGGTCTTTTTGGCGGAAAGAAAAACGTGACAAGCTGGCGCGGAATAAGCTATACGCGTCTTCCTTTCTTCTATTTCTGTTAATAATTCCAGGAAAAATTCATTGCCGACACAAAAAAACTCGAAAGAGACAACCAAAAACTCTGCTCCATGTGTAAATATTATCTCTTTTTCGAGTATTTTTTCGAACACTTTTGCCATCCTCATGGCTGAGCAAAAACCGCAACGAAATCAGATCGACAGGAGATCGGGGCCGCAAAAAGCTCCGATCTTTCATGAAAGAAGCCTCCCCCAGGCTCCGCCGAGATTCAAACTCACGTTGGTTGTCGTTGGCCTGCAAGCTGGTTGAGGACGATTCTTTTCAATGTCTAGATCAGACCAGTATTTCGTTTATATACTTTCCTCCATTCCGACGTCAGCGTTTACATATATTTTTTATAATTTGAGGTCATTTCGATAATGAGCCACGGCGTTCCACGCAGTGAAAGCAAATGTATACATTTTATAAAAAGATTGCCGCCGACCGATGGAGCGCACTTTGTGCAGGCCCCCGCGAAATTCAAATTTTTTTCGGTTTTTATGTCATTTTTCGGTGGTTTTTCAAATTATTCTCTGTCTATTCATGTTTGGGTTTTGCGAGATGTCCATATTGTGAAATAGTAGCATATTACACGTCTATTGAAAGCGGTTCCATGGAATTTCGTTCAAAACTGAGGGAGGAGTTAGTTTTTGAAAATTCGTCAATTTTTTTGTTCACAGTTAGGGACCGCAAAGCCACGCCCCTTTTCGCGATAGAAAAAGTAGCTTTTTTTTGGTTTTCAACTTTCATTTTGCTGTAGTTGCAAAATATGTGGAACTGGATAGTAAATTTTGACACACATGTACAGAAAAAGCTTCCTCTTTCGTTTAAAAAAATATTTCACGCTTTTTTTGATGCGTTCTCGCGGAATGTCGTACAAAAAAACGTGAATGGAACTAAAAAAATTTTTGTCATTTTTTTGCTTTTTTTCATGTGTTTTTCAGGTCGAACGCACTCTTTCTTTTTTTAAATAATGATTTTTGATTCAAGTAACGAAAAATTTTTAAAACAATAAAATAAAAAAATTCGTCTTTGCCAAAAAAATTTTTAGGGAGCGCCGAAAGTCATAATTCAAAAATATCGTTAATAAGCGAATATAATCAAGTTTTTTTGTTTTTTTTAAAAAAATTTAGATCATGGCCTTACTTAAATTTTTTTCTTCACAGTATCTGTGCTTGAAATAGTTGTTTAATACGCAAAAAAATGCTCTTGAAACTAGAGAATAAAATTAGCGGCGTTTATCACACAGAAAGCGGCCGAACGCAGGTTTTTTTAAACGATTATATACATTTATTAGTGAAAAAAATCTTTCAATTAAAAAGAATAAAATAAAAAAATTCGTCTTTGCCAAAAAAATTTACGGGGCCGTTTTAAGGCAGCGATCGTTAAACGAGGAAAAAAAGCACTAAAAAAACAGTTTTTTTCGAAGTGAATTTTTCACGGAAAGTTTGAGTAAAGATTTGCGAACATATTCTGATAAAAAAATAGCTGAATTACTTCAAGTTTTTTTATTTTTTTGAAATAGGCAATCTGTGCTATCTAAACGGCTCAAGGGTAAGGCGGATGGAAGCTCCCCTTGCTAGACCTAGCAGCTTGGCGCAGCGCGTGCGCTGCGATTTTTTTCATTTTGAGGTCGCGAGTTCGATGCCCGCAAGCGTCAGTTTTTTTGTTTTTCTGGAAAAATACCGACTTTTTTTCGGCAAACTAGCTGATGAGCATCATTTTAGCACTCTATTATGATTTGTTACATCATAATAGACCAGTATCAAAAACTTGTTCTAGAAGAAAAAAATCGAGAAAAAAATGTCAAAAATGGATAATACCAAAAATTTCAGTACTAAAAAATGGTGCGCGGCGCGCCACATTTTTCGTCATAACTTTTTTCATCCTCAATCTTTTTCGAAAAACTAAACGGTTCTGAGTTTTGAATCGAAACAGCTATCAAACCATACAAAGCTCAATGCTGAAAAAAATTTTTTGAAAATTGGTCTGCGGTCCCTATATATAGGTCATTCCGCGCTAGCTTGTGACGATTTTAAATTTCCTCGGAGCTACAGTAGCCCTTTCGGCGCTTCGCTACGATGCTCTCGGTATTCCCCCTTGCGTGCGCCTTTGATAAAACATCATTCACCCATTTTTGTGGACTATATCGCAGCGAGAGTAACGCTTTACTGCGGGGGAGCCGCGAGCGATATCGCTCGCCTCTCGCTGCGACCTCGCAAACGTCTTGCGCTATAGTTGTTGAATATGTGAATTGATAGTGATCAAATAATAGATCACGTGAGAGATATCCCAACTAAGAGTATAAAAGAAGTCGGGAACTCAGATCATCATCACTCGTACCGCCCCCGTTTCGCCTCCAGCCTCGCCGTCGTTTCAAGCCTCGGACTGACGACTTCTCGCCTCTCCTGAACTTCATCTTTTTACCACACCTAGTAAATAAAACTATTGTGGGGTACTCTTCTTTCTGATAACGCACAAGATACATTAAAATAGTCTGTTCAGATTTTGAATGTCAAGTCGTCACTAAAGCTCCGCCCCTAATGGTGCGATAAACCAATCAGAGAGCGAGCCATCCACAGAGTGTTTTTGAATGACGTCATTGCACTTGACATTAAAAATCTGAACAGACTATATATCGTTCTCTGAAAAAAATTTTTCTTCAAAAAAATCTTGAATTTGATTGATTTCATCATAAAAAGTCAAAAAAATAAAGCAAAAAAAAAGTGTTTTTCAAACTTCAAATCTTTGAGAGGGAGCGATATGGCAGCGAGACTTTGACGAGGTCGCAGCGAGAAGCCTTGGCTATATCGCGTGCGGCCCGCTGCGATATCGGCATTTATGTTGGGTGTGTAGCTCTCCAAAAGACCGATGATCATGTTTGACGTATTGAGTATTCTGACGGTCAAGTACGTTATAGTCTGTTCAGATTTTAATGTCAAGTGCAATGACGTCATTCAAAAAAACACTCTGTGGATGGCTCGCTCTCTGATTGTTTTATCGCACCATTAGGGGCGGAGCTTGAGCGACGACTTGACATTCAAAATCTGAACAGACTATATATAGAACGGTGACTTTTTTTCAAAACGATAGCTCGTTTAGTGGTCAATTTTATAGGTCATTCCGCGCCAGCTTGTCACGATTTCCAGTTTATTTGGAGCTCCAATAGCCTTTTCGGCGCTTCGCTTCAATGCTCTCGGTGTGCCCCCTTGCGTGCGCCTTTAATAAAACTCATTATTTCCGAACTTTGGAATTTTCTTATTCTACAAAAACAGTTGTAACATCAAATTTTATATCAAACTAACCCAAAAATTATATGCGAGAAAAATCTCGAACAGTCGGTTTCCTTGATAACAATTAAACAATAAAAAAATTCAATCTTTTTTTGATTTTCTACAAATCCAGCACAGAATATCAGTGTGTATATTAAAGCGAAAAATGAAATCAATCCAATAAAAACAACCTCGTAAATTAATAAAAGAGATAAAGGAAATTGAAGCAATATCTTAATCAGAAATAATGTTTTATTAAAGGCGCACGCAAGGGGGAACACCGAGAGCATCGAAGCGAAGCCCAGAAAGGGGTTCTGTAGCTCCGAGAAGAATTAAAATCGTGACAAGCTGGCGCGGAATGACCTATAGAAGAAACTTCGCGTTAAATCGCAAACTGCTACTCCCTGACGTCATCCCTATGACATCATCTTCATTTGCAAAAATTCGCACACGCAGCCATATCATTTTATTCATTTTTTTACGTTCCTATTTATAAAATTAGATTCGACGTGAAAAACTTTTTCCGGTCACATGAGAAACAGAAAGATATCAAACTTGAAAATCCCCTTTTGATCGGAAAACTTTTTATTCTTTTTATTTTTCTTACTTTTTTTGAAACCTTTTTAAAGGTTTGGAATAATCCG